CTGTTCAACCTTTCGGAATTAATCTATATCCTGGAATCAGTGATCTCTATTCATTGGTTTAATCTGTCAGAAAAATAATTTTTATTCTTTGCATATATTTTTCACATAATGTGAACGCTGAATTTTCTAAAACTTACTATTTATTTAAGATAATTTTTCATACATGTTTTTATAAATTGATTAGCATAACATATCATTTTCAATCAGTCACCAGGTGTCACCTTTATTTTACTTAAGTGTAGTTTTAAATATACATATATTTATCCATTTCTAAAGTAAAATATCCCAAACACCTTTTCACATATACTCTCACCATCAGCTACACTGTACCAGAAATTAGATTCTTAGAACAGTACATTGAGAAATAGACTAAACATTCCCTGGAAAACTGGATGACCTTCATGATGTCACTGAACTACCTTTATATATATATCACTCATTTGATTACACCACCATTTCCAGTTTTTCCCTAAAGAAAGGTCCACCTTTCAAAAGTGCTTGGGTTATAGGGTTTTTATTCATTTCTATCAATATTTATATAATGATGTTGTGGTTCAATCTTGTAGTTACCAAAGTCAACTGAATTCTTGAGCTTCCGAGTTACAAACTAAAACAAATGAACCAAGTACAAAATACTGAGATGACCATTTAGCTCCAAGTAAAATTACTTTACCGAATTTGATTAACTTTTGTTTCATAGGAATGCTATAATATATAATAGTAGATATATAGAATGACAGAATAACTTAGGAAAACAAAATGGGAAAATTCTGGCATACAAATATGGAATGTGTTTACATATACATACAATAGATATAGGCTTACCATAAAACTTTGAACAAAATGATCAAATCACTGTAGGTAAAGAATCAAGATTATGACACTTATGATAAACAACATTGTCAATAAACAATGTTGTTTATTATAAGTGTCGTAATCTTGTATATATATATATATTATATTTGTGATGTTAGAAAAGCGTGTAGGTTCAAGAAGTCTTGATAGAAACTTTATAACCCGAGCACTTTCGATAGGTGGACCTTTCTTCTTCAGGGGCAAACTGGGAATTTTAATATTGTTACAAAATCAATGTTGTTTTAACAAAATCTTTACTTTCTGTCCGACATTAAATAGGCAGGATTGTGCAATTATACCAGTCTTGCATGACTTGAAAGTCTAGTTGGTATTAGTGAAAACAGATTTTTAAGTATTTATGATAATGTTAAAAATTAGGTTAGCACACTGGAAAAGTAATGTTGCCTTAATACTTTATCTACTGGAAAGTAAACCATCTGTAAACTCTATATGCAATCAAACAAAGTAAAAAAATCTATATTATATAAACATTTAACAATGTACAAAGTTATGAATAGTGCATTTCTAAAATTCAGATCCATTGAGAAACAGCACATTCCAGGCCAATGTTACAACAAGACAATAAATCGTGTGATTTGAAAGCTTGTTTTCCAGCAGTTATCCTCTCTTCACAGTTCTAGTTAACCTGAACTCCCGAGTCCCAAGATTTGATAAACTTAGTATAAACAATTATGGTTTTCTGTTACAATTTGCAGTCACTCCAAAAAGAAAATAGGAGAAATTTGTAATTATTTCCTAATTTTTTATGGTGGTTACGAGGTCGGTCAAATCAACAGACCTCATAAAGAGTTAGGGTAAAGAAAATAATACATAATATATAGTTTTTCTGGAAAAACAAAACATGTGATTTTTACTTAGGAGGTTTTAGGGGTTCTGCAAATAATATTTGAAAATTTTCAGAAGTATTTTTAATCTTATCATGAAAATTACTTTGCATTCATAAAAGGAAAAAAAACATGCAGTGTAAATTGTAAATAGTTTTTCATTGAACATTAACATGCTCTTTTCTACTTCCAGAAGGTAAACATGTAGTGTACATTGTAATTAAAGATTTTCATTGACACTGAAGTGCTTTTTTCTTTCTTTTTTTTAAGTATATTAAATTCTACCTATGGGACCCTTGAAAATTAGTTTTGGAACCTCAAAAATCTCACTGGGACTCTTGAAAGAAAAAATAATTTGAGAGTCCAGGATGCTAGTGAGAACCCTGTTCTTACTAAATTTTAAAAAAACATTTTAAACTTTGGAGCAAATTGAATATTTATTAAGATTTTCAAGGCTTTGAGTTCAAAAACATGTAATACCAAGTACTCGTCAGAGTTTTTACGTATGAACTCTGTGAAAATAGTTTACTTTCAGGATAACATAAGGCTATGATGATTTATTTTAAATCAAACTGAGATTTTGTTAAGACAGATCTTTTGTTATTGATAGATTTCTGTTGTAGAATGTGTTTTCTTGCGGGTAATTAGTTCAGTGCTGTTTAAGCATTGTTGCGAGTCTTATGACTACAAATAAGACAAATTTGAAATATTCCGTATCCATAATGGTCTAAGAGAATTTTGAGAAAGCAAATATAGGTAAATGTGATGTTTTGTCACATTCCTTAAGCCTAATGAGCTTTCAGTGATGACGATTATGTTACAGTATGGGAATTGTTGAAATTATATATTCAAAGTATCTTATGAGAATACAGAAATAAATGAATTAAAACACATTTATTAATACAATATAGGATAATTTGAAAAGTTTCTAAAAACAAGTCTTAAAAACTTCCTTTTGATTTCCACTCCCTTAAATCATTACACACCCTCAATTGCTATTATATCACAAAAATTTCAAACTTTTTCGGTTTAAGCTACAGGACTGTCATCTTCTTAAAAAGATACATTTTTTATACTGATTAAAGTACTCTTCTTACTAACAAATTAGAAACATTCAGAAAATTTCAAAAAACTTAATTTTTTAATTCTGAGGTGTAATTTGAAGCTAATTATTGACAGTTATTTGATATATTACTTAACACACCTGAAGAAAATGTTAACTATTTTAAAATAGTGAAATACAAAGAAGTTTTCATAATTCAGTCTTTAACATTTGAACAATGCATGCATCAAACCTTTTCATGTTTCACTTCCAAGCAGAATTTTATCATACTAGTTAAGTGCAAATTTCTAAAATTAAGCAAAAGAAATTTAATAAAATTCACACATTCCTTATCCAGACTACCTACGTTACAATCAAATGATGAACATTTGGGACAGATATGCAAGTTTCAAAATCAAATATTTCAAAAAGATTCTTAAAATGTGAAAAATACAAGTTTTGGAAGCACAATGATATTTGTTTTAAGCAGAATTATTTCTTTGCTAGTTGTGGATTAATTTGTTTAATTAATGATGCAGTGTGTGCTATTATACAGTGATTGAAGCATTTAGTAGATAAATATATGAAATAGTCTACATTCGGTTTAGTTTTACTTTGGTTGGCAGTCTAAATGGCCATGCTTAATAGGTTGAAAAATGAAACTTATTTTGACATTAAAATTTTCTATCAGCTGTATCCAGGTTTTCAATTTTCACTAAATGAAACTCAACTAAAATTTTTCTCAAAATACGTTAAAATTATATATTTAATGAACTTTGTTAAACACAGTATCTTAAACAAGTACACTAAACAGGATGTATATTTAATAACCTTAGTTAAACATTGTACCTTAAATAAATTCAGTATGGATGACAAACATAAAGTACTTGCACTAGCTATAAAATAAAATGGTCATGAGTTATTTTAATCTTTTATAACTTATACAACTTTGGTTCTAACAAAAAATGTCATTCTTCTTTAGTAAACCCCACCTTGTTAAACTGTGGTGCAGATGGAGGATTTTCCCGAAGTTCAGGATCACCATATTCATTGTTCACATAGTAACCAACACGGATGAACTCTTTTCTTCGATAAGAACAAGTTAAAAGAACCACAGTAACACCTACAGCATCTTGAATAGGAATCTTAGCTGGGTCAGGTGGATCAGCCTAAAAAATTTTTAATTCTCTTGAGAAAGCTTAACAGGAAGAAATATTTCGCACAGTTATTTACTTGCCAAGGTGACATATTCAACGTTTCAACTAACTAAACAGTTGTTTATATTTTGGTTTGTTTGAACATCTTATAACAAGTATGAAATATTTCTAAACACGGTACTTTGTTACAGCATTTGAAGTATCCATTAGATGTATGGAACATTCTGGTAAGAGGTTCCATAAAAACTATATCAATTAATTCTGCCTGCTGGTAGATTAGATGGAAGACAGTTAGTCAACAACATCGATCACCAACTGTTGGGCTACTCTTGTCTTACCTAATTGTACAGTTTGAGTCACCTTACGAATGCACCCATGGTCCTAAAGTGTGGAGTGAGATCTTTTAAAACTATCAAACTTCAAACAGCAGATCCAGTCAAACATGCTAACCACTGGGCCATGCTTAGCCCTGAAATTTGAGTGAATATATTAAAGTATACAAAATAATTCAATTGCCTAACAGCACCAAAAAATGAATTATACATAGTAATCAACATGTGCAGTTCAACACAAGTAGAAAGCAAGCATTTTTTTAAACTCGTTTAATTTTTGATAAGGACTTATTTTCCAAATTTATATAAATCATCCCAAAATTGTAGGTTTTGTTTATGAAAATTCAATAAATGCAAATTGAATTTTGTAAATTTGTTTAGCGTATCTATAATTTCTTGCTTTGTGGTTATAATGAACCAAACACATTAATTACTATATATATAAAACTCTACTTTTGTTGCCATTAGATAATTGAATTATTTTGTACACTTTAATATATATCTACTTAAAAAAGCAAGTCAGAAAACTCTTGATCTTTTTATACATTTTTAGTTTCAATATAACTACTCAATCTTAATTATTATGTTAAAAATAGACAAAGTTGATAATCTGTATGAACAGACTACTGATACAAGTTCAAGATTCTTTAGTTAAAAATAATATATTGGGGAACATAAGTTACCACAACCATGTTTTCTCATGGTTTCACTGTTTCCTCTTTATTGTTGTATTATAACTAAAAAGTACAAAATATTAGGATCACCCCATAGGTTATTAGGCACTTAGTTGTTTAATAAGTGTCATACTTTAGAGTTCTAATGCAGTCCAAGTTTTTGTTTTCAAGCTTTTATTTAGACTTAATTCTTTGCTATTAGACTGGAGGTTTACAGAATTTACTATAGGTCTTAGCACTGCAGTTATACCAGTTTGCAGCTTTTTTGTATTTTAGAAACTTTCAGATAATTTATTGTTTCTTACGTATTTTTGACGTTTCAAACACAAGGAGTGTCTTAGCCATGAATGGTTACACAAAAAGGAGGCATGTTTAAGAACAGTTAAGAAAATAACAGGGTCCTGTCCAATTAAAATGTTCATGACATCATTTGCCACCTGTGGTACATTTGCATATTTTTTGTTGGACATCTTGAGCCAACCGTGGTACACAGCACTCATAAGATTTAACTGCACCTCATATCTCCAAAGTTCTATATGAAAGCATTTATTTTGTATAGACAGCTATAATAAAGCCACGCCTTCCATCATGTACCACTGGTGGAGCACGTATGCCATGTTGAAAGTACAACCAAAATAAAACAAATTTACATGATTAAATCACTTTTTGTTTTAAAGTTACATCTAGACTCTAGAGACCGGAATTAACTTTTTCATTGTGAGTAATTGAAGCAAAAAACAAACTGAGACTTCTTTCATAAATAAAAAACTGTTATGAAAAACTATAATTTAATGAATATAGAAATGAAAAGGAAATAAAATTTTCATAGTGAGTAAATGGAGCAAAAAAACTAATTAGACATTTATGTATAAGTTGAGACCAAACATTCACCCACTTTGAAAATTTAAAGAAGTTAACATTTTCCAACACTGAAATTTTATTTCTGATGGATAGTCACCACCTCTCGCATCTACCTTTTCCAGTTAAGTGCTGCCTCCTATTTGTGAACTTTTTTACTCGCTACTAGCCTAGAGGCTCCCACCTAATCTCATGTGTTTCCACGTGACAACCCTCCACCAATAGCATTGTAACACTTCCTCCTAGTGAAACTCCCTCTATACTGATTGTTCAATGATCACTTCGAGATTAGACAAGAACGTAAGATGCACCAGAAGTGGGAATTGTGAACAGAAGTATCTATCGGAAATACATTTTCAGTGTTGGAAAATGTGAATTTCCAATAAAATACGTAATTTCTTCTCACATCAACTAGAATCCCACGCTGAAGGGGCCAATACAAAATGTTACACACATACATAGATACATACATACACATACTTCCTTTGGGAAGTGCCGGAAGAGAACCATTGGAGCGTGACACTCTATATCTTAAACAAATATAGGAGCACACTTGAGTCAGACCACACCTCATCTATACCAGGGTAAACTCTTTGCCCTAAAAGGAGGGGAAGTGTTGCATGAACAGGCAGAAGATACAAGCCAAACCAAAACCTGCATCAGGCTTTCAGAAGTGCTAAATGTGTAGTGTGGCTAGGGCACATCAGAATGTACATAGTGGGTTAACTCAAGTCCAAAACCAAGTGGCACAGAGAATTTGGTTTTTGGCCTATCATTTACACATCAAGCTTAGTGAGGCAGAACAGGAAAGTAACATCCCTCCTGTAACAGAGTGAGGACTTATTTTGATGGCTCCTGCACCAATCCAACACTGAACCACCCAGGAACCCAACTTCTGGGTAGCAGTAGGATGGGGGAACTGTACTACAGAGGGGTGAACATGGACAGAATGTTCTACTCTCCACTGAGGGGAGTTGCTCACATTCAGGAGATATCCTTTACCCCAGTGGTTAGGAACTCGTGAGTGGCAAAGGATTGAGGGACCACACCAGAAAAGGGATTCTAAGAGAGGTTCCATTGATCCTGTAAGTTCCAAGAAAGCCCAAGTTCCCAATAGATAGAGAACCTCTCATACAGGAAGAGAAGGAGAGGACAGAGTTGTGGAAACAAAATCTTCCATGGTCTGCAAATGCAGTAAAGAAGGCTATGCCCTGCTGAGACCGGAAGTGAACACACCCAAGTCAACCAGATACTGGTTGGGTATGAGACTTCTCTAGTTTTACTACCCAACCTAAACAAACTACATCCCGATGAAGAAGAGCATGGTCGAAAGAGTCCTGCTGGGATGGAGCTAAAAGAAACCAGTTGTTCATATAATAGTGGAATCTCAATCCCAAACTGTGATTGTGACAACTGAAAGCACACAATAAGCAACTAAAAAAAAAAAAAAAACATATGGGACTGATGCCACCCCAAAATGATGAGCTCAGAACAGAGAAACTTAACTGTGATTTACAGACTGAAGATAAAGTCTGGATGCTGGAAAGTTGGGAATGTAAAGCATCAGAGATATTGACCTTAGTCACCAAAAGTCCCAGAGATAAGGTCCATCAGAGTGTGAGAAACCTCAGCATGGTAAAATGTGGAAGGTGGAGAAACTGACAGAGATGAGACATAACAATGATTGGATGCCCATTTCCAGTGTACTGGGGAAGGACAAACAGATGGAAATAAAACCACAGAGAAGAGTTAGAAACCTTTTTAATAGCATCCTTGGCCAAAAGGTCAGGCACCAACTTGGAAAGACACTGGTAAGAAACAGGATCCCCTGAAGGAGGGAATGGAGAGGGAAATCAAGAGTAAAGCCAACAGATAGAACCAATAGCCCCAGTCAGATGCAAAAGATCCACAAATCAAGCCAAATGGGCCTTCACTGTTCCTGAGCACAGAAGATAATCACTTACAAAACTGTCAATACTGAAACTTATGGGTAGCAAAAGAACAGATGGGAAAAGAGAAACAAGAGGTGGAAAAGAGTTGTGAGACAGCAACTGGAAATGGGGACTTTGTGAAAGATGGTACACAAGAGTAGTCAATGAAAAATGTTTTTGCACAGCCTAAGCTCATGACTACAAAGAATCAGATATCCCACTGAAAACCCATTGGCAGAGGAAAGGAGCTAAACGAAGGTCCTCAAGTAAATATACTTTGGCAAGCAGAATGTATCTTGCCAAAAAATCCAATCAATAGAGTAACCAGATGAGAAGAGACAAGTCTGGGGAAGAAAAATATGCCAACAAAGAAAAAGAAAGGAAATTTCCACAGAAAATCCCTCAGGGGTATGGTGGATTGCTTCCAAAAGGAAATGGAATGAGGATAGATAATGTAAAAGGGTAGAAAACTGAGCTTGAGAAAGACTAACAGAAGACAATGGATCAGAACTCCAAGCTTGAAGAAGACTCCAGAGTTTGGGAGTCCAAGAAAAGAGCTTCAGATCAATTGTAATCCTAGGCATATGTGCAACCAGTTGAGGAGGACAAGGCATACCAGTACCTCAGTAAATTTGAGACAAAACATTTTTCAGCATAGACTTGGATATTGATGGAGGAAAAACAGTATTATGAAGAAAGGAAAGTAAGGGAATAGTGGATTGCTTCCAAAAGAAGATGTATGGAAGAAAGATAGTGTAAAAGGGTAGTGAGGGTAAGGTGAAGGCAAGAAAACTGAGCTTGAGACAATGGATCAGAACCAGAGCCCATTTAAGAAAAGAAAACTCTATTCCTATAGTTGTCATAGAACTCAAAACAAAGGCTTCTGGTGTGCGGCTGATTCTTGAAAATGAACCAGAAAGTCAAACCTTCAAAAACGTTAAAAAAGTTTCTTGACACTAGGATTGAACAAATGGAGCACCAATTCAATGATCAAGTGGTCTCCCACATCAACACATGTACTTCCTTCCAAATGGTCCAGTCAATGTGCAGTTTGACATATGATGATGTGGCTTCTTTGATGAACTGAATGCTAATGCTGTGTGGGCTGACTTGAGCTCCTTCAAGTATGTTGCAAGAGAGCAAGAAGATCAAGATAAAAATGTTGTGCATTACTTGTGGAAAGCAAACATCGGTTACAACAAAGATGCAATCGTGTTCTCTAAAAGTAGCTACAGTGAATCATCAGAAGATATTTTTGGTAATTTATTTCTTTTCTTTGCAAATTCATTAAAATTATATTTAAATATCATAACCAACAATAATAAATGTATCATTGTAAATACAAACAGATTCAACCACATTGCAAATAGCTTTGACATTCCTGGATAGCATAATTAATTATTTTATCTACATTTACTCCTGGATTTAATGTAATCTTATAAACAAAGAAATTGGTAGATATGTTACAGTTAAGATCCATTTGACAGATACCTTGTGAGGTGGTCTTTCTTCATTTTTTAATTATTATTATGTTTATATTTTAAGTACCTTTTCCTATGTCATTTAGTTGAGCCATCACTTCTGAGCCAAGTATAATCTTCACCCACGTGAAAATGTGTCGTAACAAGGGAGAAACAAAGGAGGGACCTCCTCAGCATTATCATGTGTGCACATCCAACACCATTATCACCATATGAATAGAGGTGAGGGTAGGTGGGAGTATCAAAGCTAGTGACAAGCAAAAATTTGCACATATAGAGGGCAGTATAAGTAGAGAAAAGCTATTTGTGAGAGAGGTAAAATATTGTATCAGAACTTCTTCACAACTGTACTTCCTTGACAATATAATATAAGCAATATGTATATTACATACAAACAGTGATGAAGTGGGGCCATAGCACACCCTTTTTACCTTTCTTTTTTAAAATAATAACACATAATTATCAAATAGGAATGAACTTGTATGTTTGTGATGCCATAAAAACAACAGATAATATATAAAGTGAATTTTTCTGACTCTGATACACCTGTTAAATAAACTTAAGTGGTAAACGTCTGGTACTTGTACACAAATTAAATACCTAAAATACAGCTTACATGTGCATGCATATTGCAAGAATTAGAAATGTATTACGATTTTCTTTGCACTCTGAATACAGACCTGGAACACAAACATGTGTCTTCCTTCTGGTACAGGACCTACAAAAACTGTGTCGAGAACTTGGTCGTAATCTTCACTCTCAGCTGAGCCAACGTAGATTATTTTCCATTCCAAGTCTATGAACATTAAAAAGTACAAAATAATTAGTACTACAATGTGCAATAAAGCAATGAATGCATCTTGATAATTGTACATACCTAAAAAACATTAAATACATAACTTCCAATTTCATCATAATTCACTTACCTCCATAAACTGTATGGCATGAAAAATAATTAAATTATATGTCTTTTACTCAGTTTAACATTTAGTGTTACAGTTTTGTGGGAGTATTTGTCAATAATAAATCCCCAAATGTGCAACCCAATATTTATAATATTACAGTAGGAGCACAGATAAATCTCATAAACCTGAAACTTTCAAAGGTGTTAGAAAAAAATGTGGAGAATTTGTTTCTGGAAAAAAAAGAAGACAACATCTTATAAACTTACTAAACAGTTTATCAAACACATCCTCTACACAATTACTAAACAGTTTATTAAACACATCTTCTGTAGACCTACTGAACAGTCTGTTAGACATCTTCTGTAGACCTACTGAACAGTCTGTTAGAGATCTTCTGTGGACTTATTGAACAGTCTGTTAGACATCTTCTACAGACTTACTGAACAGTCTGTTAGACATCTTCTACAGACTTACTGAACAGTCTGTTAGACATCTTCCACAGACTTACTGAACAGTCTGTTAGACATCTTCCGCAGACTTACTGAACAGTCTGTTAGACATCTTCTGCAGACTTACTGAACAGTCTGTCAGACATCTTCTACATACTTATTGAACAGTCTGTCAGACATCTTCTACAGACTTATTGAACAGTTTGTCAGACATCTTCCACAGACTTATTGAACAGTTTGTTAGATATCTCCTGCAGACTTATTGAACAATTTATTAAAGATGTATCTTCTGCAGGCTTACTAAAGAGTTTGTTAAAGACATATCTTCTACAGAATTAATAAACAGTTTGTTAAAGACATATCTTCTACAAACTTACTGAATAGTTTGCTAAAGACATCTAGAGAATTAATAAACAGTTTGTTAAAGACATCTTCTACAGAATTAATAAACAGTTTGTTAAAGACATATCTTCTACAAACTTACCGAATAGTTTGCTAAAGACATCTAGAGAATTAATAAACAGTTTGTTAAAGACACCTTTGCAAACTTACTGAACAGTTTATTGAAACTCATAAGAATGTGTACACAAATTACTTTCACTTTCAACAGACGCGGGCTCATTATTAAGGGAAACTAGTTTTGGGAAAATTTATTTGATTAGTCTTTTCCTCGTGAGGCTGAAAATTCACTTGGGTTGTCAGAAATTCTCAATTACTAAAAAGACTTTTACTAGAATACTGAGAAGGGCCGGTAGAATGATACTTGGTTTATCAAATTTTCAACTACCAAGAGAGAGAGACTTTAAAATTAGGACTTGTTTTCTCTTAAACATAGAATAACTAAAGGAGGATTGATTCATGTTTCTAAAATTGTTTTTAGGTTTGAACAATCTGCCAATAACCTGTATATTAGAGAAAATAAGTTTTAAGTTTTAGAAGCATAACTACTTGTTCTTTGGTAACATTCTTCTCAATTTTTTAACTAAATAAGAACATGTTGCCAAAGATAAAGTATACTGAATAATTTTCAAATGATACAGTGTTACTTTAAATTATTTTTGCAACTGTTGGATAGACTTATAGTTGTGCAGGATGACATTTACTCCTGGATTTTGTTTTGTTTGGAAGGATGATCCTGATGGACTGTTTGGTCATCTGTAACTTTGATATTTCACATGTTCTAAGCTTAAGAAACAGAGAATAAAGCTTCTAGCCTTGACAAGGTTTATTCGTACACTTTTGTGCATTTAGCATTTGGTGAACACTATTATGTTTGAAACACTGTTCAACAACAGAAAATTTTGTGATGACTAAGACAGCCAATAACATGTCTATTTTATGAACAAGAGTTAAAGACAGAACATAGAAATAATAGGTCAATTAATTTAATGCCTGATATTAGCAAAGATTTGAAATGTATATTCAAAGATCAATTAGAAAATAACTTTTAATAGAAATACTTTTGAAAGAGGCTTTTTGCCTTACCAACTTCACAAGTATTTTTTATTAAGATAATGATATATCTTTAGGAATGTAAGAAGAATTCTATGCACCTCTGTTGTTTATTTTCATAAGTGATTTGGATAATTCCTGGAAGAAATCTGTCCCGACTTGGACATGAACCAAGGATCCTTAACTTGAGTATACGTGTGTGAATGAAGAGTGAACTAAAAGAGTTAATTAGTCTTACTTCACTTTGCTTTATTTTGCATATTAAATTCTTATCAATTTTGAATTTATATATATATATATATACAGAGAGAGAGAGAGAGAAAGAGGTTGAAGAAAGAAGAAAAATGAAAACTTAACTTTCTTTTTCTGATGCTTCAATTGTTTACTTGAGCTTATTGACTTCATCTCCTTGTTTTTTTTTATGGTGTTTCAATTGTTTACTTAAGCTTATTGACTTCATCTCCTTGTTTTTTATGGTGTTTCATTTGTTTACTTGAGCTTATTGACTTCATATTGTTTTGTTTTTTTTCTGGTGTTTCAATTGTTTACTTAAGCTTATTGACTTCATCTCCTTGTTTTTTTTATGGTGTTTCATTTGTTTACTTGAGCTTATTGACTTCATCTCCTTGTTGTTTTTTTTCTATGGTGTTTCATTTGTTTACTTGAGCTTATTGACTTCATATTGTTTTTTTTTCTGGTGTTTCAATTGTTTACTTAAGCTTATTGACTTCACCTCCTTGTTTTTTTCTGGTATTTCAATTGTTTACTTGAGCTTATTGACTTCACCTCCTTGTTTTTTTCTGGTATTTCAATTGTTTACTTGAGCTTATTGACTTCACCTCCTTGTTTTTTCCTGGTGTTTCAATTGTTTACTTGAGCTTATTGACTTCATCTCCTTGTTTTTTTATGGTGTTTCAATTGTTTATTTGAGCTTATTGACTTCATCTCCTTGTTTTTTCTGGTGTTTCAATTGTTTATTTGAGCTTATTGACTTCATATTGTTTATTTATGGTGTTTCAATTGCTTACTTCGACTTGATGACTTTCCATAAAGTTGCTTTTTTCTGATGTTTTAACTGCTTATTAAACTTAAAGGCTTCCCATATCCTTGCCTTTTCTGATGTTTACAAGTTTTATGTTAGCTTAATGATGGTATCTGAATATACCATAGATTTCTATCTTCTTGTATCAGTTTATTTTGAATATATGTAGGTTTAACATAACATGTTTGAGAAAACCTGAAAAGCTCATTTTGTTTCAAGTTATCTTTCTTCCTTTATTGTTCTCAAAGTAGGTACTACCTCTTACCGCATGGGAAGAACACAACAGGATGTTGTGTAAGAATGTCAACAGCAGGATTCTTTAATGGTTCTTCAGGCGATATCTAGAGGCTAAAGTCCCACCTATGTTGTAATGAGAATGACCTATCATGAGGGTAGAACATATCACACTGGGTAAATGTGAAGTTTCCTGGAAACTATGGAACACTGTATTTAAATAGTCTGGTACAATACCCCAACTGAAACAGTCTGGTCTATGGTTTAATATGAAAAGTTAAGTATATAGTACAAGAAAATGTCCAGCATAAGTAAGAACTAAAAGTACACACACACACTATGTTTGTGTTATATTGTTTAATAAAGACTGTGCATTTTGTTCTGCATTTGTGTTTAATCTTCTTATTTTGTTTAACATTGACTCAAATGAGTAAGAATATTCAGTTCACCTCGGTATACCACAATGGCTTTCCAACACTTTGCTTTCTAGATTGTGTGTACTTAACCCTATGTGCATGGGTAAGGGTCAAAGTATGCATGACTTGATCTATTACAGAGTGCCATTTAACGTGGTATGTATTTGACGTAAGAGTTTATCAGCTATTCATTTTACTCTATAATGCTGATTTAGCAACAGCTCATGACAAAGGAGTAAATACCAGCTACAATATATATAGGGATACTGAAAAAAAAACAAAAAAAAAACTGTAGAAATGCATTTCAGTAGTTCCAGAGGTTATGCAAACTATACAGTGGACAAAAGATTTTTTTTTTTATATATAAA